TGTGTAAATTGAACCAGAGATTGTTGTCCTCAGTTTCTTCGCTATCTTACCTCATATTTACACAAGTAAATGGCCTGATGCTAGATGAAGGGTGAAAAGACAGGTAAGGCTTTTAATAGATGGCCAACAGATGGCCTGATAGTGACACAGCTGTAAGATTTACCAATAGAGAGTACTGTTGACATGCAAGGAAGCAAGAGCTAACTGAAAACTTTTTCCCCCTGGAAACAGGAAAAAACTAGTCAGTTTAGTTGCATACTGAGATAAACTTACTCTGAAATCGGTGTCAGATAACTGTGGCTTGAGCCCCACCTGCTGGTATTCATTACAAACTAGCTCAGTACAATAAAGAATTTTTAAACTTTAACATGAAGTGTCATTTCTCTAACAGTTACTGTGTTGGAATTGGTTAAAAATTTTGGAGTGGATTTCAAAAATGAGAACTGACTTAAGTATTTTTTTTTTTTTTTTTGGAGACAGTTTCACTCTTCCCCAGGCTGGAGTGCAATGGCACATTCACTGCTAACTACAGCCCTGACTTCCTGGGCTCAAGTGATCGTTCCTGAATAGCCTCAGCCTCCTGAATAGCTGGGATCACAGGTGTTTGCCACCACACCTGGGTAATTTTTGCATTTTGCCATGTTGCCCAGGCTAGTCTGGAACTCCTGGGCTCAAGCGATCTGCCTGTACTCTTTTTCCCAGTTAATCTGATATTTCTTTCAAATCTCAGATGTACCAGGCCTCAGCAGTGACTCAAGGAAGAACCCATGTGCTCCTAGTGGGACACGATTTGTTCACATCTAACTTCAACCCAGTTTCATTTATAGTGAACACTGTTAACAACTTATCAGCATGCCAGATTTTAGCGCTGATTTGTCTTTGTGATCTTTGTAATGTTTCAAACTTAGTGACTTAACCGTTTATATCTTAGTATAATTCTAAAGATTTCATTCAGCTAGAACCCATGATATTTAAATGTCCTTTTTCTCTTGTCTAATTATTTGCAGTTAAACATTTTGTCATTTACTTTGCGACTGTTTTTAGCAGGCCCATGGATCTCAGTGTTTAGTTTGTGGGCTCTATGGGAGACAATGACAACAAAGATAACTTTAATGTTGGCAATAATTCTAAGTAAGCAAGGGATATTAGAAAATTAAGCAAAAGGCCAGGCACGATGGCTCATGCCTGGAATGCCAGCACTTTGGGAGGCCAAAGCAGGAAGATTTGTGAAGCCCCATCTCTGCTGAAAGCACAAAAAAAGCCAGGCATGATAGCACATGCCTATAGTCCCAAATGAGGCTGAGGCAGGAGAATCTTTTTAGCCCAGTAGGCAGGGGTTGCAATGAACCAAGATCGTGCCACTGCACTCCAGCCTGACAGGGCAAGACTCTTGTCTCAAATAATGAAAATAAAAATTAGCCCCAGGCATGGTGGTGCACACCTGCAGTCCCACCAACTCTGTAGGGCTCAGGCAGGAGGATCGCCGGATCCTGGGAAGCTGAGGTTGCAGTGAGCTATGATGGTATTATTGCACTTCATCCTGGGTGACAGTGAGGCCCTGTGTCAAAAAAAATTTTTTAAATAGGACACTTGGCCGGGGGGCAGTGGCTCACGCCTGTAATCCCAGCACTTTGGGAGGCCAAGACAGGCGAATCACGAGGTCAAGAGATGGGACCATCCTGGCAAACATGGTGAAACCCTGTCTTTACTAAAAATACAAAAATTAGCTGGCCATGGTGGTGCACACCTGTATCCCAGCTACTAAGGAGGCTGAGTTAGAATCGCTTGAATCCGGGAGGCAGAGGTTGTAGTGAGCCGAGATCGTGCCCCTGCACTCCAGCCTGGTGACAGAGCTAGACTCCATCTTAAAAAAAAAAATAGAAAACTTTAAGCAAAAATATGTAAAAGGCTCCTATTCGTTTTTACATATATCTTTTTATTTATTTATTTACTTTTAAAAGACAGAGTCTCACTATGTCTCTTAAAACCAGGCTGGCTTCGCCTCTTGGCCTCAAGTAGAGTGCTGGAGTTATAGGCATGAACCACTGCACCCTGCCACATCTTCTAAAAGTGTACAGTTATACAAATTTCAACATACAAACTACCACAATTAAAATATGGAACAATTCTGTCACCCCACAGAATTCCCCTGTGACCCTTCAAAAATTAAAATTTTTTTAGAGAAGTCTCGCTCTGTTACGCAGGCTGAAGTGCAGCGCCCTAATAGCTCTCCACAGCCTTGAACTCCTGGGCTCAAGATCCTTCCACCTCAGCCTAGCAAGTAGCTGGGACTACAGGCATGAGCCACTGCACCTGGCTACATGTGTCCCCTTGTAGTCAACCTCTTCACTCCTCGACCTTGGTAGCCACTGAATTATTTTCTATCCTCATAATACTGTTTTTACAAAACTGTCCTATACAGTTTGCAGCATTTTGAGTGTGGCGATTTTGTTGCTGTTTTTTTGTTTGTTTGTTTTCATTTGTTTGTTTTTTGTTTTTTTTTGAGATGGACTTTCTATCACCCAGGCTGGAGTACAGTGACACAGTCTCAGCTCACAGCAACCTCCGTCTCCTGGTTCAAGCAATTTTCCTGACTCAGCCTCCTGAGTAGCTGGGACCACATGCCCAGATACTTTTTGTATTTTTAGTAGAGACAGGGTTTCACCATGTTGGCTAGGCTGGTCTCAAACTCCTGACCGCAGGTGATCCACCTGCCTTAGCCTCCCAAAGTGCTGAGATTACAGGCATGAGCCACCATACCCAGCCGAGTCTGGCCTCTTTAACTTAGCATGATGCATTTGAGATCCATTCATTTTGCATCTATCAGTAATCTCTTCCCTTTCAACGGATGTATAAGAGTTTGTGTATTTATTCTCAGCTGAGGGACATTTAGTTGTTTCCAGATTGGGACAATTAATAAAGCTGCTATAAATGTTCACATATAGTTTTGTGTGTAACAATGTTTTCATTTTACTTGTGTAAATAGCTAGGGAAGCGATTACTGGGCTGAGTGCAAAGTGTTTTTAAGAAACTGCCAAGCTGTTTCCAAAGTGGCTGAACCATTTAGTAAGGAAGGGATTAATTTTTTTGAGGAAGACAAACTACATGAGCACTAACAGATTTCGCAGGTCAGTGAAGTAATTTGTTTAGAAAATATTGTGCTTACTATGTTCTAGGCACTGTTCTAGGGACTGGGGATAGACCTGTGAACAAAATGGACATGGTTCTTGACCTTTGAGTTTATAGTTAGTGGGGGAGATAGAGATTCAATAAATAAAAGTAGCCAATTTTGAGTTGTGATGGTACTGTGAAGGAAAAGAGAAGAGTACATTGAGGGAGAAGAATTAAAGAAAGCAACATAATTTAGACTGGCCAGAGAAGGTATTTGCCAGGAATAGCTGACACTGGAAGGATAAGTAGGAGGGGAGAATATGAAAACACTGTATTACTTTATATATGTTTATTTATTTATTTATTTATTTTATTTTTGAGACGGAGTCTTGCTCTGTCACCAGGCTGGAGTGCAGTGGGCGCGATATGGGCTCACTGCAACCTCCACCTCCAGAGTTCGAGCAATTCTTCTGCCTCAGTCTCCCGAGAGCTCCCAGGACTACAGGCGCACCCCACAGTGCCTAGCTAATTTTTGTATTTTTAGTACAGACGGGGTTTCACCATGTTGGCCAGGATGGTCTCAATCTCTTGACCTCGTGATTAGCCTGCCTTGGCTTCCCAAAGTGCTGGGATTACAGGCATGAGCCACTGCACCCGGCCTCAATTTTTTTTTTTCTTTTTAATACGGAGTCTCACTCTGTTGCCCAGGCTGGAGTGCAATGATGCTTTATCAGCTCACTGCAACCTCTGCCTCCCGGGTTCAAGTGATTCTCATGCCTCAGCCTCCCAAGTAGCTGGGTCAACAGGTGTGCACCACCACGCCCAGCTAATTTTTGAATTTTTAGTAGAGACCGGGTTTCACCATGTTGGCCAGGCTGGTCTCAAACTCCTGACCTTAGGTGATCCACCTGCCTCA